ATTAACCTAGGAAGTTGCTTTACTGGTTACAATTGTTTGACTCTGCTTCTGCAATTTTCTAAACCATTTAAATCAGGTAAAGTTACCTAAACTAAATCACAACACACTTGTTTTTCGTTACTTGTTTTCTCTCCCTTGTTTTCATATAGCCTTTTAAAAAATGTCCATCAAAGAAAAATTAAACAGAAGAGCTTATTATTAATAATGCAATCCTACACATATGTGCATTTCTGAATATAGTAGAATTTATTCCCTAGTAAGTCTGCATAGGACTGCAACCTAAATTCTCATCAAAAAGGGAGTTAGAGCTGGAGAAAAATACAGTGTTTATTTTTTTTTATGTTTTTAAATTGTTTTAATTTAGTCCAATAAAAAAAGGTCCGTGGCCCTTGTAACTCACTCTTACGACTACTAGAAGATAGTACAAGTAGATAACGTTGTTGTTGTGTGCCTTCAAGTCATTTTTGACTTATGGTGACCCTAAGGCCACAGGGTTTTCTTGGTAATTTCTTCAAAGGGGCTTTGTCATTGCCCTCCTCTGAGGCTGAGAGTGTGTGACTTGCACAAGGTCACCCAGTGGGTTACTGAGGACAAAACGAAAGTTAATTGGTGTCCCATATAATGTTCCAGGAAACAAACTCCATTAAATATAGTGGGTTTCTTTCAAAGTGAACATACAGAGGATGAACACTGTGCAAGATCCAGTGCAATCAGCCAGTTATAATGCTTTCTTTATCTTTATACCTTGTCTTTTACCTATCCAGAAAGACCTGGGGAATCCAGGGATGAGCACAGGAAGGGAACACATGTAGCCCATGGGTTGAAATTGCTTGAAATTGTATTCTAGGAAGTGTGTGCACACATACAGGCACCCTCTCCAGTTTTCACTGGCAATCCAATGATATGCTGTGTATACAGGGGTGACCAGATGACCTCTTTTTCCAGGTCTGGATAGGTAAAAGACATTTCAACCTTCTGTCCAGGGGGAATTTCAAAATGTACTCCATTTTGACCATGACTAAGAAGCATGGACTTAATATTTATACTAGTGTTTTTAGCTTTTTTTTCTGTGACATCTTCAATTTTTCTAGAATGTCCTACATTCTGTGGTGCGTAGTCCTCCTTTGGGGTTAGGACATCTCATCACCCTGTGTGTACGCTACACACTTTTTGGGGAATAGTGCCTTTTAGGCTGCATCCTCACTGCTGAATTAAAGCAGTTTGACACCACTTTAACTGCCATGACTCTGTCCTCGAAAATTTTTGGGGAGGCTTGTAGTTTGGTGATGGTCCAGAGCTTTCTGACCAGAGTGACCAGATGCCTTAACTGCAAAGGAGGACAAAGTACCGCAGGATATAGGACACTAATAAATAAGAGCTTAAAACACTCCTAGAAATATAAATCCATGCTTCTTAGTCAGGCTCAAAATGGAGGACATTTTGGAATTCCTTCTGGACAGAAGGTTGAAACGGAGGGCAGGTCCTCGAAAAGGAGGACCTCTGGTCACCCTGAACTCAAAACACTCCTAGAAATATAAATCCATGCTCCTTACCATGCTCAAAATGGAGGACATTTGGGAATTGCTCCTGGACAGAAGGCTGAAATGGCCATGACTCTGTCCTACAGAAGTTTTGGGGAGCCTTATAGTTTGGTGCGGGCCCAGAAAGCTCTCTGACCAGGATGACCAGATGTCCTGACCACAAAGGAGGACAAAGCACCACAAAATGTAGGACACTCACAAATAAAATCTAAAAGCACTCTTAGGTATACAAACCCATGCTCCTTAGTCATACTCAAAATGGAGGACATTTTGAAATTCCTCCTGGACAGAAGGTTGAAAAGGAGGATCTCTGGTCACCCTGAGCTCAAAACACTCCTAGAAATATAAACCCATGCTTCTTAATCTTTTTTAAAAATTATTATTATTATTGTATATGCTCTGTATATTGTTTATGTTCTGATGTACCACTATGGGGTGGAAAGGGCGTTATAAATAAACGTCGTCGTGGTTGTTATGCTCAAAATGGAGGACGTTTTGGGATTCCTCCTGGACAGAGGGTTGAAGCGCCCTGGGAAAAGACCTGGCCGCCCTGAGAGACCAGGCTGAATGAACCCTGCCTCCCTCTCAACTACAAATCCCAGAGCTATTCCGTAGCCACGACAGTTAAAGCGGCATGGGACCGCTTCAAATGCTGCCGTGTGGCCTTCTGAGAGTCAGGAGAGCCAGGCCAGGCCGACCAAAGCAGAAAGCCCGGCTCTTTACGGCCCCCCTTCTCTCCGTCAGCCACCGGGAGGAGCCTCTCCTCCTAGGCCTGCCTTGTGACCGGAAAGGCCGCGGAGCTGCCGCCGCCCCCGGAGGAAGAACCGCCCGCCGAGGCTCAGCGAAGACGACGACGAAGCCGGGGCCTCGAGTGAGGGGCAGCGCCGGGGCAGGCGAGCCCAGAGCGGGGCAGAGGCGAGAGGAGGGGCCGGCCGGGGTAGGCCTCGGCGGCGGTGGGTGGGGAAGGAGCTAGCTAGGTAGGTACATAGGTAGGTGAGTGGCTTAGTCACTGCTCCATCTTCCCCTTCTCCCTTCTCTCTCCTCCTCCTCCTCCTCTTCTATGGTGGTTCCCCTGCTTTGCTTTCCTCTGCCTCCATCACTTGTGGGATATCCAGTTCTACCACAACCGCAACACACACACACACTTCATGGTGGAAGGGGTGGTCTCCTGGGGTGCCTCTGCACTGCA